AGGCACCTCTGTACTGTGCTACATGGCACAAGTTTTGTGTTGTGGAGACGCTAAAATCTCATATCTGGCGCCACTTCGGACGAATCTTTACCCAATTTGATATAGTACAAGCCTTCTTTTTTTCAACCACGATTGTAGGTAACTTATCTGTTTTTCACGTAGATACTAGTCAATATGGCTACGCCCCAGACGCCAACACGTAGGCGGCAGCTTACTCGTAATAAGCGGCTCTAGATACACACACTACGCGGAGCTAGTTTCACGTACCCAGCCATCGCCAACCACCTTAAGTTTACTATTCAGTAGATACAATATACTGCTACCCATCCCGTTACCCCAACCAAGAGATCTTGTAGGCCGCCATCACTCTCACCTTAGTAGGTAGAGGAGCTAATCTAATATATCCAGCTATCCCGCGAGACCCACCAGATAAGCTAGAGAGCTCTAGCTGACGTTTTCTCCAAATAGAACGTGGGTGAATATAGTATCCAATACGCCCTTACTAACGCTAGATATTTAAGAAGGATTACTCTTGCTAAGCTACCTTTATCACTACAAAATCGAGCTATCCAGCTGCGTTAGGCAGAGGAACACCTACACTAGACTACAGAGCAGTAGAACAGTGTTCTATAGAGTGATAAGACGTAGGTAACTAGAGGGAGGCACTAGAAAGTCTACGTTACTCATCTACCTAGTAAGCAGCTTGACGATACCTGCTTAGTAGAGAAAGTACGCCGAAAACGTGGCTGGATGTTCTAGGCTTGCTTTAATGAGAGTAAGAAAGGCCCAGCGCTGTTCTAGGAAAAGGAGTAGAAATCTATCAATACGGAGAGATACTGTAAGAAGATTATACCTCTTATCCATAGATAGATATAGATAAGGCCAGAACTTATTTTTATACAAGATAACGCGCCTGCGCATTCTGCAGGAGCAACTAAGAACGAAATCATATTACGATACTTGCCGACGTTAACGTAGCCAGCGTTTAGTCTAGACTTAAATCCTATTAAAGAGGTGTAGAATAAGATAAAGGATTAGATTGCTTAACACCACAAAGATCTACTAAATAGGTAGCAACGATCGTACGATCAGCTGCGGACAATCGTTACAGACGCTTAGGAGCAGATTACTCCAGAATATCTAGGTAATCTAGTAGCTAAGATAGGCGATAGGTGCCAAGCTGTGATAGACGCTGAGGGCGGCCATACCAAATATTAATTAGCCATCTAAAATCGGATTAGCTCAAACAGACCCTTGCTAGTGCCCCACTTACATTATTTCTGCCATGTAGCACAGTAAATCAAACATGTGTCATAGGCCTGGACGAGACAAACTCCCTGATAGCATTCCAATCACGGCAAGTGTGGTAAACATCTGATTGCACAAAGCTTCGGCCATAACCCGGATACCAGATGACTGGTACCGGTGTTAGATCAGCGTGGCACATCAGTTGCTGCCTGATGTGATCTAGACAATGGTCTCGGTGGCCTCTGTCTGGAAATGCCATCACTGTCTTTTTACCAAAGTAATAGTCGCGATCGAGCGCTCTTCTGAGCTGATCCACACAATGTAGGGTGTGAAGCCCGTCAAGACCAACGAGATATCCTACACCATTCTCGTGATGATGCAGTCCATGGGGCTTGCCGAAAGTAAGCTCCGCCTCCTCTTCCGACACTTGCATATATCGACCTTTGAGTAATTCTTCCCATGCAGCGTCAATCTCGTCACTTGGTGGTCCAACGTACATTGGCTCGTCGGGATTATGGAGCTTGTAGGCAGTGCCGTTGTCGTACCATCGTGGTCCGCCCCAGAACATGGTTAATTTCTCGCGAATGTACGGCTTGGCGATGGGGAATTCTGTCATGAAACCATTACTATGGGATCCGTTGTTGGCTGTAACTTCCAGATGTGTCGTATTCAACAAGCGAATGAAGAGATACGCGGTGCTGAGCGCAAAAGCGAAGGCCAAACCCCATCCTATGTACAACCAGGTAGGGATTCGGGATTCGGGAATCGGCAGTGAATCAGAATCTTCGTCGTCACTTTGTTGAACGGACTTGTACTTCGCCGTGTGTGTGAGATTCATGGCAATTATTGATGGAATTGCAAAGGTAAAACAGAAAAGACAAGATGTGTTGGAGCCGCGTGGGCACAAGTATCACATTTAAATATTGCAAGCGTCTGACTAGAGTTTCTGATTATGCAGGGCAGGGGCTGGGCGGTGATGACACTGGTCAACACTAGCTGTGATAGATTGCTCGGTACAGGGAGCCTCAAAATTCGATCGTTTGTCATTATCGCATTGCTGTCTTTACAATGACTATTGAACAATCTACTCTCCACGCCCTTATGAATAAACACGTTCTTATCGTTCGATTCACATTATTTCCAAGAATATGATATAATCAAACGCTTTCAATCACAACGATTTTCGATAGGACGTAAATAGATTTAACAAAAATTTAGAAAACCTCGCATGGGAAACAACAGCGAGACTCATGGTTCACAAAATAAAAAGTTATGAGTATAAGCTAGAAGCTTGGTCCTACAGAACTTTACAAGCCAATAGCATTCTTTGTTTGGGCAATCTCATTCTTATGGTGGATACTTCAGTTAATAATTTTGAAGTCTCATCCATCGCAACACATCTTCACCAATTCTTAATCAATGTACATGACCATTTGAGTCGATAGAAAAGCTAAGGTGTGGTGAGAATATTGGCGACGGCGAAGCGAACTCCGATAGGTCGAGACATAGAGTACACTGGAAATGTGTAATTTGTCGTCGGCTGCTTAGAGTAGACTATTCTTTTCATAAGACGAGGAGATTGGAGAAAACATGTCCAATATCATTGTGTCAAACATGCACAGAGAAGAATTACGAGAATACGAAATGCATTCTTCAGTGTGGAAAGCGTGGCTTTGCGATTGTGCCGTTCCACCTTGCCTGTGAAAATTGTTGTATTTTCTCAAAGTTTCGGCATGTATGCAATTGTTTTGGCGCAACATACTGGCCACGATGCTCGTGCCACTCTGTAGGGGAAATGACAGAAGTTGCTTGACATTGTATCACTTGTCTTAAGTGATCGATACAGTGGTCTGCAGCAAGTTTAGTTTATTGAAGTATCGTAAAATGAGCGGAATTGCTCACATTGGTGCACCATGCCTCGATATTTCTCCTCTGGATAAATGTCTCTTCTCAATGCCTTTCTCAATTGATTGAGACAATGTAGGCAATGGAATAAATCCAACCTGTCGATGTGGTGAGACTTTAACGAAGTGACAATATGACAAAGTGAACATACGTTCCAGTGAAGCCACCTTGAGGCCTATCTTTGTATCTGTGAGCATCTTTACCCCAAAGAGCAACAGCTTCTTCTTTAGAAATGGAGAAGTAGTGCGTTCTGCCTCCAATGATCGCGTCCCATGCAGCATCAATCTCAGGTGAAGGTTCGCCTACATATAGAGACGGGCCCAGAATTTCTTCGCCATCTGGCGTGAAGTCTACTCCACCCGTGAAGACTGTCTGGGTAAGTTCAAAAATGTCGGCTGGAGCTGTTGTAATGTTTTTAGTAGCCTATAAATATAGCTAGTGGCCTTACGTACCCACGACTCTCTCTTCGACAAAACCATTTTCGAAGGAACCCCATTTTGCCTCACGCCACGATGGGTCTGTGAAATGGCCTACAGCAAACGCCGCTACAGTCCAGAGTGTGAAGATGATCACCTTGATGACTGAGAGTCTTGGCTTTTCTCGCGCACGCAATCGTGCTCGCAGACCATCGTCTTCTTCTGCGGAAAGTAGATGGGCTTCATTGTCCTCGGTTCCATCTTCTAGCGGCGCCCATTTTATTTTCTTTGGTCGCATTTTTTCCAACAACCCCGAAACATTCGGCATGCTATGTATAGCGTTGACCGAGAAATGTTGTCCTAATATTATGCAAGAAATGGCGAATCTGCACCCCTCAAATGTTTTGTGCGTGAACTGGATTTAATTGATAAGAATGTGATGCGAACTTAGGAAGGTCGTAGCAAGGAGGGTCTTGTATGAATGTACTATCAGTAATTTTAAAGCAGCAGATTGCGCACTGGAGATCACGCCTGTGTCTGTTCAGTTGCGCGTACGTCTAAGCAGGCAGTGTGCAGTGCACCGATCTGCTGATATGAAAGAGGATTTATGATTTTGGGCGCACGGCCTATTCCTGATCATGTGATTTCTTTAAGGTAGCAAGTGCCCCCAGAAACCCTGGAGGCTGCGACAGACCAAGCTAGGTCCACCGTGTGGTACCACGCAATCGAGTTTCACAGTACCCAATTGGTTGGATCGTGAAGATTCATCAGGATGAAATCCCTACGTGGCATGGCAAGAGACATACGAGCGAAAGACCTCTCTGCTTTCCTCTCGAATATCCTTTTACTGTTTACACCATGTGATGAAAGAGTTTCTATCGCTATGTTATAATCATCTGATCAGCCTCTGGACTCTTTTATCTACGATTTGATTACATTCTTTTCTTACTCTATTAAAGACATCACTGCAAAAACTCATATCCCTGAACTTCCTCTGCAATGAGAAGTTTGACTTCCAGAATACCGCTGGTTTTTCAAAATAACGACCGAGGCAATTTCATGCACAGTTCAGAAGAATCGGGAGGACTTCTCTCTGAGACGATTGACCCAGAAACAACCTCATCGGAAACCCGCCGAGGCACTTCTACTGTCAACATAGTCGTCATCTTCCTCATTTCTACGAGCCTTGTTGGAGTGCTGGCATGGCTCAGTATGGCTACAAGATCGCAGATCGACAAATTGACAGGACCAGCAAGGTCACCTACGGACTGCGGCAATAATTACACGACTGCAATCGCAGCTGGATGCATCTTCGATTTCACCGCTGTGAAATGGATGGCACCAGAATGCCACAACGCGACCCTCTCTAAATCTCTTGCCTCCAAGGTCCCAAAACCTATGTTTTTCCTATCAAAAAATCTTACTGAACCACTCTCTGAGGATCCTCTTGAGATTTCGCAGCACGACCAAATCTGGTCGCACCATGAATACCATGCTATACACTGCACATATATGCTTCAACTCGCAGCAACAGCAGCAGTAATGGTATCTTCCGGGCACCACAACGTTTTCTTGAACAGCTTTTCAGCAAATGCTGACCACATTGCGCACTGTTCCCGAGCGCTCTCAAACCCTGTCCCTGATCTTCGCTCAGTACATATCCCACGTCCCGGCTCCGCTCTTCATTGTAACATCGTATCACTATAATAATATGAATATTTTCTCCCCAAAACATACTTACTAACGAAAACCTCTGAATTACGTACTTGCTTAGTATCAAGCGTACAAACGACAATCATACAAGAGATGTAAGCTTTCAATCAACTATACTATTCTTTTCAACCGTAGTCATTGGTACATCCCACATAGATCCATAGGATACATAGAATAGCAGAATAGATTAAACATGACTGTTACGAAAGTTGTTATCGGTGTCAGTCCCAAGCAGCCCTATCGGGCTCAACTCAGGTCGCCATTAGGGACCCTACGAGTCCATCACGTGACTTTATATGCATAGTAGATCTTATCCATAGTTGCTCCTTTAGAATTTGGCTCATAACATATCGTGTCCATGATATTGTTTCCCTTCCTTCGGTACCTCTTACACCCTGTGCTAGTATCAAAGGGTCTTGAGCAGCTGGTCTTTTATCCTAGCGTACCTACACCCTAGATCGTTTGGCGCTCTCTCTCGTTATTCAGATTTCGCTTATCGTTATTTTGCGGCTTTCGGCATTTCACACGCGTCCTCAGCATTCGATAGCGACATCATATGGTGCTAGCGGTGCAGCTCTTGATTGTAGTTATTATTACATGCTTTAGCACTTTGATCTATGTATTTTTTTTTCAAGCTGTATGAACGCGAAAGGGGTATCGTAGTAAAGCAACCAAGAGAATAGAGGTGACTAGATTTGATCTACGTATAACGCATGTTGAAAACGAGCCGGGAGACTGTGCTAGATTGTCCTGCTCAGCTTAGGTCGATTTCTTTGTGAACACATCGTATTGCGATATCATCATCTCGACTGAAGAAAAAGTAGGGAAATTCATCACGCCTTGAAGTCTCTAGTTCGTGCTATGCATGTGAGTGTGCTATTACAAACACGGATATTCAAGTAAAGTTAACTTAGCTGCTTTGCTTTTACTTGCTTCCAGCCATGTGATGTCGTCGTTGTGCATGAACACCGTATAACTCAACAAACATATCTATAGCTTCAAATCATCCCACATCACCACCACCCAATGCTTCTATTCTTTGCACGTCATAAGAGTATACCCTATGTCACGATACTTGGAGCTTTCATCTTGCCATTGTCACCAATATACTCTAGCTTAGTCTCGGATACTCTTCGATAAGACCTACTGCCCCTCAGTAGTTCAGTCCTCCCTAATATTCACATCATCAGATTGTGCCCCTCAGTCAGGCTCGAGTAATGATGCATCTGGTTTGCCACGTACGTAATCGTTGGGATCAGTGCGAGTGCGATAACTAGTTTCAAAGTGTATAGAGCAGTGTCATGGTGGTCTGGGAGGAGGACTTTGCGAGGTAGTGTGAACTCTCAGCATATAATGAGGCACCAGGTGGGCTTTGTTACAAGACGTTTGGTGACATGTCGTGCCACATAGACAGATTGCTTGAGTTTGCACTCCCAGTTGTGCAATATGTTTCAGCGGAATACTCCAATTCCGTACACAAAAGTGATTCTAACTCCTCATCTGTTATCTGGCTTAGGGTATTTATGGCCTCAAGTCCAGAAGTACAACTTGATGACCTCAGAGTACGATCGAGAGTTGAAAAAGATGGATCGGAATGTGGGGTACCATATATACCTTCTGTCAAGCTGCAAAAATCTCGGTCGTCCAAGGTCTCTGGCGTCCTCATTCCCGACAGAGTGCCTCCTGGGCTTTGAGGCGGTCCGTATCTTGGCGCAGATTGTAGCATGTCCTCGAGATCAACGAATTCTCTCAATCTGCTGAATAAGGCAGAATGTGACTTCAAGATCTCTCCTCGTGACCAACCGTACGCGATGAAGCCATCGAGGAGTGCTCTAGTGGCTGCTTCATTGTACGATATGATGTCTTTGTGCAGAGCGGGAGCTTTTGCCTTCAGGAAATCGATGATGAGGCGAATGTCTGTATTGCTCAACTTTCGTTCCCAGCTATAAATTGAGTCAATCATCTTGAGGTCAGAGCTGATATGATAAGGTGGGCATACATAGTGGACACGTTACAACCAAGGCGAAGTATAAATCCGGGTCCGCCCTCGATCAGAAGCTGTAGATAGCCGCGGCCTGCTTTCCTCTCTGACTTTACTACCTCAACACTCGTGGAAAGTATTTCTGCTTGTAATTCAAAGGCTGCGGTGATCTTGCCACGTCCTTGAGAAAGGACAAGATCCTGAGATTTGGAAAGCTGGTCTAAATCGTGTTCCAAGTAGATATAGCAAAAGCGAGCTGCATAGGAATATTGCTCCCTTGCTCTCTTAATCTTCCGATGGCCGTCATATAAACTTCGAAGTCGAGCTTTGGTATTGGATATGCTTGGTTTTTTAAAAATTGCGGATCTCGATTCCCACATGTTCTGCGCAAAATCTGGCGCTAGCTCCGGTGCTTCCACTAGCGCTTGGACTGCTCGAACCAAATAATTCAATCTTCCTCGACGACTTCCGAGCCGTTCTGCAAAGAATTGAGTTGCCCTCCAAAATATGTTGCTTCGACATGAAGCCATGAGAATATCTGAACAGAGGCCATTCTGGGAACTGTCGATAGGAGATTGCTCACAGGGCCATGGAGGTGTGAATGGTGAGTTTCTTTGCGTAAATGAAAGGGCATTGCTTGAGCCAGCTAGCCCTTGTTCGCTCAATATCGATTCAGATTGTTGTTCGGTGCACACGTTCGAGTCATGTGTCGACGATGAAGGAGACAGCATGTCTATGTCAGATGGTTTTTGCGGAAGTGTCCTATAAGCCAACAATCCTTTAAAACTATGTTAGACTCAAAAGAACAAGGATCGCCTTGAAGATAACTAGTCTTCAACTGAATAGCTTCTAGAAAAAGAGCATATATCACGAATAGGCTTCTTACTTTTCCTCTTCCGCCGATGTCCGTCGTCTTGGTCCGCAGGGGCGGAAGCGATGTTGTTGGTTGATGCAAATCTGGCAAATTCATGTGCATCTGCAATATCAAGGAGAAGTCCGGATTCTTGGATATCAGATAACAACTGTCGAAGTTGTGGCGCAGTCCCGCGTCGTAGGAACTGTTGAAAGCTTTCTCTTGCCTGCCAAGCCCATTAGAATTGCTCACTTTCGACAAGAGTCCAGTGAAAAGCCCTTACCGAAGAACTCACCACATCCCCCGGCGATATTTTTCCAAGAACCCATTGCAGGACTTGTATAGGATCAGAGTCAGCTCGGTCCATATCTGGCAAAGTAAAGAGAGGATGCAATCCAGGGGCCGAGTAGACTGCAAATGTTGTACATGATATACTATGCTACATGGCAAAAATAATGTATGTGGGCCATTAGCAAGGGGACAATACAGGCCAGGGTGAAGAGTAAGCCCTATACTATAAAGAGTACCCTCTATACTCTATAT